TTAGAGGTGCTTTTATTGTGAAGCCTCATGTCTGACCCGACCACCAGTAGGGGGTGAGGGTTCGGGCTGACCAGCTGAACCAGAGGTCACGCTTCACCTCCTGTGTCTGCTCTGAAACCGCAGGACAAGAGCTCGTCTGCTAAATCTTCAGATGTCCGCAGACCCTCGGCCTCCTCGCCGAGGACGACGGCCGACAGGAGGCGGAGCCTGGACAGAAGGCGGAGCCTGGACAGGACGCCGTCGCTCGCCGCCGGTGTCGGCATGAAGGATGACGTGAGGGAGAAGGAGAGGCAGAGGTGGATTCAGTTCAGACAGAACAACAACCGATCGACCGTCCTGCGCCTGAGACTGAAACCGAAACCAAGTCGGACTCCACGAGACCCGAGTCAGACGGAACCCAGTGAGTTTAATGTGACGCTCCGGACTGGTCTAGTCCTGCCTGGACGCTGAGCCGCATACGGTCGGGCTGTAGCAGCCACATTCTGCTGCTGGTGCTCGCTAACATCCAGCTTACTGACACTTCAGTGCGTTAAGGTCGATGTTTTTAACACTTCTGTGCATCAGCGTCCATACTTCTGGTACTTTTGAGCGTTAATATCTCAGTTTTTACACCTTTTGCACTCCAGACTGGTCCCGTTTGTTCCTAGTTCAGGCCTGACCTAGTTTGTGTGTCTGTGTTTAGAGTGCGTCATGTTTGTGGGTATGCAGGCCAGTAAACAACTGGTGTTTACAGGATGTTTGTGGAAATTAGAGCAAATTTTCCATCAATTCTAAATCCCAGCTCAGTGTGAGAAACAGCAGAGATAAAGTCGAGCAGTCGCTGGTTCCAGCTCCTCACAGCTGAGGATTTGCTGCTTTGCTTCATCTTTAATGAATTTTGTTATTTTTCAGCTTTCACTTGGTTAAAACGAGACACTTTGAGGAGCTCAGACCAAAACAATACAATGAACAACCATGAAGACAATGTTGGTGGATGTTCTTCTGAGATCAGTCAGAAATAAAGGTTCCTAAACGTGTTCTTCCTTCAGTTGTTCTGTCCAGTGAAGAGGAGGACGAAGACGAAACGGCGAGAACGTTACGAAGCAGCAGCCGAGTGGACGAACCCTGCAGCGCAAGACCAGAGCAGGTGAGACTCACCTGGACAGCAAGTCGGCAGCTGTTGACACTTTACTGCGTTAACGTGGAGGTTCTTGGT